ATATATATATATATATATAGCTGTCTTCAGTGGGCGATATGGGCAAAAAGGTAGATTGGGACTAGGTCAAGGAAGGCCTTGAATACCAAGGCTGATGGGAAGAGGGGACAGATGGGAAAAAAAAGTGGCATAGGTAGTAACTGACAAAAGTGGAGGGTACAAGCAAAAGGTTTTGAGCCTGAGTAATTTTGAGAATTGAATTTCATAACTAGGAGGTCATTGGTGACCTTTGAAAGAAGGAGTAATTTCAATAGAGAATGTGTTTATTGTTGAATGAATGAGTCATGGTAAAGAGTCAGATTTTCAGGAAATCAGATTGTGAGTGGGTGATGAATCAGAGCCATTGAGTATAAAGCCTTCTTTTGAGAAGGTGAAAGAAAGGAGAGAAAAGATAGTATTGGCAGGATCGAGGGAAGGTTTTTGTTCTCGGGAGTAGTGGGTAGAAAGTCTGCCTTGAAATCAGAAAGACCTGTCTCTGACAAAATATAGGTTGTGTGACCTAAGGCAAATCACTTAATCTCTCAGTGTTCTAGGCCACTCTCTAAGATTATAAATTGCTGACAATGTGCCATCTTACACTGGTAGAGGGAATTTGCTCATGGCCTGGGTGGGGGAAGTTCTCTACCATGAAATCACAGGTTCAGTCCATATCCCTATCCCTAACATAGGGGACACTTGGGCACGTCTATAGGCAGAGGAAGGGGCCAGTCTAGGGAAAGATTAAAGATTTAGTGAAGACAAAGGATAATTGATGGGACTAGATCCCGGAGGATTCAGGAAAGATTGGAATCCACTGCATGGAAGGGTTTGTCTTGAAGAGGTAAGGGGGCAGTTCGTCTTCTTAGATGGGAGGGAAGGAGAAAAGTGAAAATACTGAACAATTTTTGGGTGGAAAAGAAAAATTGAAGGCGCTTCAGCTTGATGACTTTTCTCTTCTCTAAAGAGATAATATTTGTAAAGCACTTAGCACAGTGCCTGGCACATAGTAGGTGCTTGATAAATGCCCTTCTCTTCCCTTTCCCATCTCTCAGTAGAATAGCAGCAGCTGAGGTCATCTCCTAGGAGTGAACAGGGTTGGTCTGGGCTTCAGATTTTAGGGTGCATGCAAACTATTTTGAGTAGTTAAAAAGTAAACAAGAATTTTTTTTTTTTAGCACCATTTGCAGCAGAGGGAGTCAAGCTAGAGTGAGATAGTATGGACCTGTAGTAAATGAGGTAAGCACAGGTTCTCAACTTTAGCAATGGTTGGTAGCTAAAGAGTAGAAGTGGAGAAGAGGATAGTGGGGGATTACTCAGGCTTGGGAATTAGAAAAGGACAAAGATGGAGGGTTAAGATGGGAGGATTTCTAGCACAAGTATGATGAAGTGGCTGATTGCATGGTGCAGTTTGGGTCCAGAGCCAATTGAGGCTTCGTTGTTGTTCAGTCATTTTCAGTCCAATCTGACTCTTCCGTGATCCCATTTGAGGTTTTCCTGGCGGAAATACTGGAGAGGTTTGGCATTTCCTTCTCCAGCTCATTTTGCAGGTGAGGAAACTGAAGCAAACATGGTTAAGTGACTTGCCTAGGATCATATAGCTAGGAAGTATCTAAGGCCATGTTTGAACTCTGGTC